CTCCGCTGAATGCCTAGTGTACCAATATGTATTGGTTGAATTAAGCATTGAATGTTTGGTCATGTGTAGATAATTCTTCCGGTGAGGGAAAGGCTGCCTGATGGGAAGCTGCACTGGCATCTAGCTATCATTTTCATCAAGGAGCAAGAAGTCCACATTCTCGATCCAAGTCAATTTGAGGAGCGGGAGGCAGTACGTCAGAGAGCTATCGAAATAATGGTTGAGTTATTAAATTTTGTGTGGTTCTTATGTTATCATCCATCCGTGTTCGTGTTTTTCGTTACCAACATTTCTTCAATTGTGCATATGGTCTTTTTGGAAAACTTGCGGCAGGTTCTGTACCTTGAACACGAAAACACATGCGAGCCGTCGAGATTTATAGATTATACGTACACAAGGCCTTCTCGTCAAGAACAAATGGATGAGTAAGAATGTTTCTTTCTTCGTCGTTGCAAAGGTGTGCTTATGAAATAGTTTCTAATGCAATGAATTTCATATTTTGTGGGTCTGATAGTGTGGTGTGGGTGTCCCTGTGAATTATGGATACAAGAGTGGATAACTATTTCTTATGGGTGAGCCTTGCGCTAATGTTCTTATTATGCAAGAAACTACAACATTTTGTAAAAATTAAATCTTCATTGTATTATTTACTCAGACTTAATATGAGTTTTTTTATGTTCGTACAACCATGTAGCTCGGTGAGGCGAATGGAACTGTCTCTGTTTCTTGTACGACATCCTATGCACATGTTGAGGCATAAGGTGCTGAAGGAAGCCAAAAAACTAGCACCTAAACTTGGAGCTCTCACACTCGAGTACAAGGAAGATTACCAAAAGAGACAGGAAGAAAGAGGAACTTGGACTTGGAGGATTGAAGATTTGAATATTATTAGTTAATTGGCTTGATTTATCGTTTAGCTTAATACAATCATGTTTTTTTTTGTAAGAACAATCGTCTTTTTCATGCATGGATTTTGGTTTCTATTGGATGGTTGTGTTTATGAACTATTTGAGTATTTTATTGCATTCATTCATGTACTTGATCCCATAATTGAGTACTTTACCACATCATCATTAGTGAAGTATTAATTATGTTATATAGTCATTGCTTTCTCACTTGGTAGTTGGTATAGTGAAAGAAAACAACAATTGTGCATCATTATTTCGACAAAAAATAAATTGCTAGTTAACATAACCATAAAAAAGGAAAATTCCTACTCACCCCAAGGCCCGAAGCCTACATACCTAATCACGATTACATATGTAATCGGTTTGTATTTGTAAGTAATCTGATGATCCCAATGGCTTTTTGAGCTGTCTAGCATGCTTCTCAAACATTGTGGCATGCTTCACGAACATTGTGGCCTGCATTCTGATATTTCTGGTATGGTTATAATACTAATATATTGCATTCAAATATTCAGCCACTAGCACACTACACACTAGTAATGCACCAATCACTTTGGCACGAAATGGGCATATCCTCATTTTATAAGTATATTGACTCTTTGGTGGGATTCTAAAGTTTAGGTGGAACTCTTATGGGTTTTAAGTTTGAAAGGCAACAATCGTCAATTCCACGATTTTAATCCATTCGCCAAACAAATTACGTATGAAAATTATTAAATATTAATTCTCAGCACAACCAAATTCACTGCACCTACCCGCGAGATATCCTCTATCCCACATACCCAGATTTTCGTGATCCTAACGCTAAACCCCTCAAATAACTCGCGAACCATAGATTTTATCAGTAATACATATTAATCTGCAATTAAGAGTTACGAGACCGATGACTAAAATCAAGTTATTTTCGTGTGAAAACCCGAAAACACGCGGGAAAAAGATCCTGCCACCCTTCTTAGAACCCTAGTATAAATACTTCATTTTATGTAAAGAGGGAACTAGCATACGATATCCTTCCTTTCCGTCATTTTGCGTGCAAGAGATCAATCTTATAGAGAAAGGCCTACGTTTCACTTACCGGATCACAAAAATCCTCCACGTTTTGGAAACCTACCAACATGGATAAGGCCGTGAAATCTACATCACTATTGAATCCTTCATTATCAAAGCATCCAGTTAGTCAAAGCTGCATCTGATCCATTCTATTTAAGTTTTTTAGCTACTTAATTCTTATACGGCTGTATTCTCTCTTTGCCATCACCGGCGAAATATGTATCTTCGACGAAGAGAGCTAGACTTTAGGAGGTTGTACACGCCCCACCCACGCCCGGTGCCGACATCATCATTATTCCCAACAACAACGAACCAGAAGTGATCCAGAAGCGTAGTGGAAAAGGCAAAGCCCATAATGGATTAAACAAAGATGTAGAGAGCATGATAATCATTATTTTGTATGTCTCGACCAAAATGTTTTGATTTCTAGAGATATTCATCCGGTGACCCTTGTTTTCGCATGCCGTTTTGTAATTCAAGATCGATTCTCATGTTGACTATAATAACAAGCAGATCAATGTAGCACATTACATTTTTCTATCCAGTCTACCACGAGACGAAGTCTTGGTACAATACGAGTAATGTTGTAATGGTTATTTATAGTACCTCACTTCCGATCTAGTTGATTAGGTTTATGGTAAGCATTTTATACGTTCTAGTACTATTCCTATACATTCTGGACTGTTTAAGTATTTATGTGGTTTCCTTTCTGGATTTTCTAGTATACTTCATTTGGTTTAAGGACTTAGCTTCCTTATTAAGTTTCTGCCATACTTTCTGTTTGTTGTGAATTTACTTCAACTTACATCTGACTCCATCTATGTTAACTATTTTATGCATGAGCAGGAGCTCGCTACTTGCTATGGCTTGAAACCTAAGATGGCGGCGGAGTTGTACGACCACACTTTCTTGATGTGAACAGAGAATTGCGACAAGGTCGTCTTCTTATCTCGTGGTCTCCTCCGAATGCCTAGTGTTGGTCCAATATGTATATGTCGAATAAGGATTACATGTTTGTTCATGTGTAGGTGTGTCTTCTGATGAAGGATAGGCGGCTTGATGTGAAGGAGCAAGAAGTTCACATCCTGGCTATCATTTTCATCAAGGAGCAAGAAGTTCACATCCTTGTGTGGTTCTTATGTAATCATCCATCTATGTCCGTGTTTTTCATTACGAACGCTTCATCAATTGTGCAGATTGTGTTTTTTGATAGCTTGTGGCAGGCTCTGTACCTTGAATGCAAAAACACATGCGAGCCTCCAATATTTCTAGATTATAAGTACACAAGGCCTACTCGCCAAGAACCAATGGATGAGTAAGAATGTTTCTTTCCGCGTCATTTCAAAGGCGTGCTTAGGAAATAGTTTCTCATGCAATGATTTTCATCTTTTGTTGGTCTGATATTGAGGTGTGGGTGTGCTGTTGGATGATGGGAGCATCATTGGATTCATTTTTCATATGGGTGAGTCGTGCGCTAATGTTCTTATTCGAAGCAAGCAATGAAACATTTTCTAAAATTAAATCTTCATTTTATTATTTACTCGGACTTAATATGAATTATTTGATGTTCGTACAACCATGTGGCCCGGTGAGGCGAATGGAACTGGCTTTTTTTCTTGTATGACATCCTATGTACATGTTGAGGCATAAGGTGCTAAAGAAATCCAAAAAACTTGCACCAAAACTTGGAGCTCTCACACTCGAGTACAAAGAGGTCAAACAAAAGGCACGACAAGAAAGAGAGTACGCCGAATTTTAGGGTTGAAGTATTGTATTAGATGATTTTATAAATGCCTAATGTTTTGTTGGATTTGACAATGGATTTTCTAACTCTGAGTTTGGTTTATATTGAAGTATTATTGCATTGCATTGAGTAATTTACCTATGTGTTTTATTGAAGTATTATGAAAGTATTAATTAATGGTATATAGTCATTGCTGGATAGTTGGTAAGGTGAAAGAAAAACAACAATTATGCATAAGTAATCCAATGGAATAGATGTATTTTACAGTAATGGCCAAAACTTCCATTCTTCCAGCACAAGCAAGCTGCCTTCAAGCACAGGCAAGTTGCTAGAAAAACAGGCTTTGTAACAACTTTGAGCTCTTCGTTTGAAGCCTTACAAGTAAGCATTCATTCATCCAATCCCTGGTCTTTGTAGTAGAAAATATCTAACTTCATGTGGTTTCAACATGTAGATAAACACTTGGTCTTCAATACAAACCCTTCTTCTTTCATTTTCATCTAGCCATTTGTGAGAAACAAGCCTCCAAAGTGGGCACCCTAAAACAAATTTGAGATTGCTTCATTGTAACTTGTAGAATTGACCAAGTTGGATCATATCAAGTCCCCCTTCTCCAAAAAGCTTTGCCCTTAAAGCTTGATATTTCCTCTGCTTAAAAGCTTTACAAACTTAAAACGGTTTTAAGTCGTGTCAGTTTTTAAGTGATGGTGTAAAAGTGCATAAGAAAAAGATGTTGATTTGAGCTAAAGTATTACTACCAATATGTTTAGTTGTTTGGGAACCTTCGGAAGTAATTGGAATCTAAAATTGAAAAAATAAGTCACAAATGAAAATGCAAGTTAATTAAACGATAAAGAAAATTATAGTTAACGCAGACATAAAAAGGGCCAATTCCTCATGACCCCAAGGCCTATCGACCAGTCATCTAACTAAAAACACAACTATCTCTTTATCAAATAACAAAAAAACACAACTATCTCTTGGTGAAGACGTGCTTCTCGAACAAAGTCTTCCCCTAGTCCTCGCTCGATGCCTCCTCCTCACTTGCTCCCACTTGAATCATACGGCACCTTTTGCGAGCTCTATCGACTTGAGCAGCGACCTCGTTTGCATCAATGAGAACAACCTCTTCTGCCCCTTCTGAAGGCCTACGCAGGATGACGTAGTGCCTCATGATGAGGTGGCAAGTATAAGGACGAATGTTTCCTCGATAATATAACCATCCATAGGAATATCCAGATTGGCAAGCAGAAGGCTTATGTATACACCAAAGGGCAAACTCCCACTTTGCTCGTCACTACATGCTCCGATCATGCAGGCCAAAAAGCAAGTGGGAAGAGTCAAGCTTGCGTCCATCCAAGGCATTGGAGATCACCCAAAGATCAAGCTGATTGACGACATCAAACGAGTCGCTGCAGGGAAGAAAGGCATGCGCGATGAAATAGTGAAGAACCCTATGCACGCTTTTGAGAGATGCAGTGGTGATTATTTCAGTGGGGAGTACATGCCTTCCAAGAAGCTCGCCGTATTTCTCAGTGGGATCAAAGTTGTAGGCAGCCATTTCATGCTCATGATAAAGGGGAAGGCCACGAGTGGGAATGTTAAGAGCCCGACCTAGGCCTTCATTTGTCAAACTAATCTCATGACCAGCAACAAGACTTGAGAACTCTTGAGATTCAATACTCATGCATTGCATGTTTGCATAGAAATACCTAACAGCGAGAGGACATGGAGGGAGATGGAAGGACTGATGAAGAAAATCCCATCCAAGGTTGTTGATGTAGTGCAACAACTGAATTTCAAACTCTCAAAACTCTGCAGGGTTGACAATGATTTTAGTGTGAAGAGAACGAGAAGCAAACAATCTATAGAACCGATCGCGATTTCTTCACCAGGGGTCATTAACAACCTTGTTTAGAAAGGTTTCGTTAACACCATGAAGTCTTAAAAGGGGGATGTTGTCATCCATATTCGGGGCAGAGAATGTAAACAAAGCAAAACGAGGAAGCAAAGAATGAAAGGGTAGAGAGATCGTAAGACATAATGCAAAGAGATGGTAAGATGGAAGGAATCAAGGAAATATAAAGAGTCTCTGTAACACCCCGGTATTTTAGATTTGGGTTCGACCATATTTAACGAGCGGTTAGTTTAACGGTTACGTACAAATAGTTGCAATCGCGGAATAGGAATAGGAATAATAATAATAATTTTCATTATTCTTATTAAAAAAACTATATATTATATATATAAAGGAAGGAGGCGCTCGTCCCCCCTCTAATTATTCTCCACCCCTTTAATTAACCCCATCCCCCGCAAACCTTTCCCCACAAAAAAAACCTCCTTAGGCGCCCTCGTCTTTTCCTCTCTCGCAGCGCAAGCTCAGTCCGTACGTCGACGCCGCTCGAGCGGCCAATGGAACCAAGGTAGCACTAAACCGGCCACCCATCAACACCACGCGGCCCAGAACTCATTGTCATCGGTCTATCCCCATCTGGCAGTGACCCAACAGCCCCGCCAAGAGCCTCGTCGGAGCTTCGTCGAGCTTCGTCGGCGTGTCACCGGAATCTGGAAATTTTTGAAATTCGAAGAAACTTAAAAAGGTGAATATAGTTTGTAGAGGGCGATATCAGGAGCGTCACGGTGTCGATGAAATCCGATTCGGACGTCGGACAAAGGAGATACGAGTCTCGAAAGTTTGGGTTGCAAAATCGCATAGTTTAGGTACTATTCTTGTCAATTCGTTAAGTTTGAGGATTAAATCTGTAATTTTTCCAGATAGGCCGTGCTCAACTATGTTGACTGGAAAATTACAGTTTCGGTACCTGGTACTTTTAAACTGACAGAATGTTTATTTGGTCATAACTCGATTAATGGACGTTCGATCGAGGAACCGTCGACGCCTATGGAATCGTGGGAACGAGGAGAATTTAATGGAAGCGAGTCATGGAATTTTTAGAGTGGAGTCAGAGTCATTTTCGAGGAATTTGAGGTGAGTGTAAGGGGGGTAAAATCTCTGTCGTAGGTCTTTTAGTTTTCGCTTTTCGTTCAAGTTATTATTTAGTTAATTTTTTTCTAGCATGCGCGATATGTGTGTGAGGCATCCCATCGCCTGTAAGGGTGGAGGCACGTGTTGTGCTATGTATGAATGTGTGTGATGTTGTATGGATTGATGGTATGAGGAACCCCGGGGCGGTTGGGCCACTACTGGACGCGTTAGATGGTCGGGTCACTGCTGGACGGCGAGACGTAACGCAGCAGTTGATCGAGTATGTTGGGGTCACTACTGGACGGCGAGAAGTAACACAGTAGTTGACGGGCATGGACTGGACGGCGAGACGTAACGCAGTGACATTGCCGAATTTGGTATGCAACCGGATGGCGAGACGTAACGCGGTTGGCATACTAGGGTAGGACACCGGATGGCGAGACGTAATGCGGTGGTCCTAGTGTTTTGTGTTTGGGTTAAGGATAAAAGTTGAGAACCTCTATGAGTTAAAGTTGAGAGGAGTTATTAAGAACATAAGTAAGGGAATTCTAAAGATAAGATAGGAGTAGAGATCTCTTATAGATTGTTAGATAGTAAAGTTTAAAGGATGAAAGTGAGAACGACTTTCGTCTAAGGAAGACTTTCCCTTAATAACGTGTTTAGTAAGGAGTTTGCCTAGGGTGAAGACCTTAGGAGGTAACGACGAGACTGGCCCCTTCTCACTCACCAGGTTGAGGATAGTCTAGCAGAAGTGGATCATGAGAGGAAGCAGGACGAGGCGAGCAGCAGTACCAGCGTCGTCGGGCTATCGGAAAGCTCGTGAGGAGTCAAGTTAGATTAGTTATTTATTTTGTTTCATGGTTATTAGTATAAACTGGAGATTCTGTGTTAAGTCGTTTTAAGTGTTTGAGATTGAGAATTTTGCCCAAGTATTGGGGCTTTTCGTTAAAAAATCTTAAATGATGTCGGTTTGCTATTTTAAAATGTGGTTTGGGTTGCTCCGGAGTAACCAAATTTTGGTTTGAGTTATGGTTTGGTTTTTGAAAAAAGACGGGACATGTCAGTCTCGCTTCGGCTACAACTTAAAAAATGTAATAACCAAAGTCCATCAAGATATAAATATAAAAGATATTCCTTACCTCTATAGTAGATAATACTTACCTCCTACATATCCACAAACCAATATTCTCAGTAGATATACCTCACACCTACACTAGAAAATCTCCACCAGTGATTCGACGCTTCAAATAATTAGCTATAACACTAGGACAATAGATAGACTTGAAAGCTTTGATTCGACCCCTCATAATAATTACTTGCACGACAAAAGATAGACTTTTTGTATTCTTTCTGTGATATTTGGTATGCTTTAGGAGACTTGTGATGTGCTTTTACGTAACTTGTGGTGTGGTTAGATTGTTCTGCTTTCTCTCCCTTTCCCAACGAATGATCCGTTCGATACATAGTGAAAATGAAGTACGTTTACAATTTCCATAAAATTTGATCCCTAATTAATAGGTTCAGAATATCCAAAAACCAATTCACATTTATTAAGCTTTCAATCCTAGTTGGAATGGTCCAATGCTTGGCCCATTAACCTCGCATGCATTAACCCCACTAGAGCAATAATTGGATCTGAGATCATATTGCAGTATAAACCCAAAAGGTAGATTATTTCACAAACACATGTTAAGATAACTATCCACCCACAATTCGATTAAAATTCCCTCTTCGTCATCTTTTTCCTCTGGCCGAAACAATCCCTGAACAGAATACACCTACTTGGAACAAGAACGAAAAACTAATTAAATAAAGGGCCAATACAATACACGTGTGGCGTGCTTTTATAAACATGTGGTTTGCTCTACGTTACTTGTGGCAAACAATAATAAACTTGTGGTGTATAATGTAACGTTATTGTTCGTACGTCCTGGCCAACCATCCGATGGAAGTGGATTATAATGTAACGTTATTGGGTTGGGGGACTAGTACTGTAATTGTATTTATAATTCCACATAAATAGAGCCCGCTAATTATCTCGACCGTTGAGATGGATCGCACGCCAGATATGGGTGGTGTACGACATACCGCCAGTTTTTACTGGTGGATGATAGATTAATTGTTATTCTATGTTATATCATCATATTAGACTAATGCTTTCAATTAAAGTTTAAAATTTGATGTATTATGATCAATTTTAGAGTTGGGTGCATTGAAGAATTTTTAATGGGAAATGATAGAGTACAAAACCCACAACTAGAAAATCACTATAAAATTCCATCATTCACCTTCCATCTCTTTTTCATATGATAATTCAGATTATTTCGCAACAAAAAGAGAGAAAGGGGCGGACTAGTAATTTCACCACCGTTGCTTTTTTTTTGTTTCTCTAACACGAATCTAGAGGAGAGAGAAGATAGTTGACCAATCAAAATCTACTTTTTATAATCCCCTACTTTTTAAAAATATTTTGCATGGAAAGAACACATTAGTTATGATTTACACAATGATATCCATTTTAATTTTTTTTAGCAAAGAAAAAAATTAACTTTACAAAACACTTGTCGGTGGCAGTATTATCACTGTCATTTCAACTCAGATTTAAAACATATGTGTAGAAATAAAACATTAATTAAGAATTACACTGTGATATCCATTTTGTTATGTTTTGTCAAATATAAGACCTCATACCAACACCATATCACTTTCATTTTATTCTATTATCAGTATGCTATAATGATAATAGCATGATATGATAGTGACATAAAGATAATGTCATCAAATTATTTTGTCAAATATAAGATATCATACCAACATCATATCACTATCACATCAACATCATATTACTATGATATAGTGATAATATCATGATATGACAGTGATATGAACATCATATCAACATTAAGATCTAGACTATGATATCCATTTTGTTATATTTTGTCAAGCATAAGACCTCGCCAACATCATATCAGTATCATATCACGATATTATCACTATGATATAATGATTCATCTAATTATTTTGTCAAACATAAGACATCATACCAAGTTACCAACATCATATGATTATCATATCACCATCATATCAATATTTTGTCACCATCATATCAACATCATACCATTGTGATATCATACCAATATTAGTAGTAATATCGTGATATGACAGTGATATGATGACAAAAATTGCTCAAAATATATATCATCTTATAGAGCACTAAAAAACTATTTTTTTGTGAAATTGTTTTTGGAATCCGATGTAAAATGAATACACGCTATAGTCTATTGAATTTTTGTAGGAAATTTGAAAAAACCTTCAAAGAGGTTTGGGAATCCGCGTCAGTCTCTCTCCAAATATAGCTGGACAGCAAATCCAGGTAACCCATTATTTCCCTCTTTATCTCTTTATGATGTACAAAACTAATTGACTATTGGATGAGAAATTTTACAATGCTATATAGTATTGGTGTTATAGGTGTTTGCCTTAATGGTACAATTTAAAATTGTACATTTATGTTATGGTACAACTTCATATTGTACCTATACTTTTGGTACAAATTCTTTTATGGTACAATTTGAACTTGTACCTTTATGTGATGGTACAACTTCAAGTTGTAAAGTTGTACCATAACACAATGGTACAAATTGCTTTATGATACAACCTAAACTTATACATTTAATATTATGGTACAACTTTAAGTTGTACATTAAAGCACCAATACTATATAGCATAGTAGAAGTGCTCCTATTGGATATTCCCTTCCAAATTACAACCATTATATTAGGTTTTGTAGGACTACAAAACTAATTTATTTTGTATCCTAACCCAACCTTTTTTTTACTGTATGGTTTTGAATTGGAGTTGAGACATGATGGAGTTCGGCCTTGATTAAATTATATATACGCTTAATTGTCCAGATGATGAAGGTGGAGCATAATTAAATACTAGACCAAATACTATATAGTATACAGTTCTAATAACTTACCTTTGCTTTCCTCGGAGCAACACTGAATTAGCTAGCTGTCTACTTCGTCGAAGATCTTCACTGTTCGATCCTTGTATCAGCAACTCTCCAAGGAATTTTTTGATAATCTTATGGTGGCTGATCAGATTGAAGGATTCCCTTCCAAGTTCGTTTGGCAGAACCATGTCTTCTAGAGTTTGTATGTTGTGTGGTTGACTTACCACAATAGAATTCTCACATAGGATGCGCTGAAAAAAAGGGTTGGAGCCTGCCGAAAAGGTGTCCGTTGTGTGCTGCAAGTGAAGACGATCTGAACCACTTATTCCTTCAGTGTAGGTTCATTGTGGACGTTTGGCGGATCATTAGACACTTCCTCTACATTGATCACGGGGTCGTTGGTACGGATATTTCAGAACTTATCAAGGGATGGCCCTCTCACACTCCACAGAACCCCAAGGAATGGTGTACGAGATCACTTTTGCATGCTCTGCTGATCTGGTGTATTTGGATTGAGCGGAACAATCGGATTTTTGAAGAGAAGCGTGTGACACCAAATATTGTCTCCTTCAAAATTGGAAGTCTGATTGCTTCCTGGTTCATTGCTGCTGGCAAGATTGATAAATCAATCGGGGAGGACTGGATCCGAAACCTAAGAGTTGCCCTCCTGGCTAGAAGTACCTTGTAGTCCTTCTCCTCTTGCAGGTTTAGCAGCATCTTCCTGCCTGGCAAATGTGCGAGCTTTGGCACACATTTGAGCCTGTTTTATGCAGCTGCTGCTTTGAGTTTTGGCTGGTGGTGTTGCCTGGATTTCTCTCGATGGTCGATTTCCCCAGTACATGGCTGCAGCTGTGATTTTTTGCTTTCTTGAGGCTTTTGCCTGAAGTTGGTTTCACTTCTACAAGTTCTTAAGGGTCGTTTGGTTTTGGTGATAGTTAAATAGATGCGTTAAATAGATGCATTGTTATCGATGTATGCATAATAATATACATGCATATAAGAAAATTGATTTATTGTAGTTTACATCATTTGGTTTCTGTGATAGTTATTCTTATATTTAAATAAGATATATTGCTTTCTGAGTGGAATATCACTTTTACCCTTTATTTTTAATATAAAAAAGAAAAACACATCAAAAGGTAGGGACATAATTGGAAGAAGTAAACACTCCAACAATCTCAACAAAAACTTGAGATATTACTATCACTCATTTTGAGTGATAGTTTTCATCACATTAAGCAAACAATGCATGTATAGTTGGTGCAGAAAATTAAAAAAAAAAATACATTTTGGACAATGCATGCATTGTAACTATCTCAACCAAACAATCACCAAAACCAAACGACCCCTAGTTCTCGTTTGTGCTCCTGCTCTTGTAACTTTTTGATACTTTCTTTAACTTCCTTTATTTTGATGAATTTCATCATTACCAAAAAAAAAAAAAGTTTAAGTGTCAATTTTTATTCAGTTACAACCAGTAAAAATTGAAATTGAAACCAGCACTACTACGAAACTGGTTAGCACTCTTAGGTACGAGAATAATCCTTGCATATCTACCAAATGCATGTTGTAAATAGCTATGAATAAATTAGCATATATATGATTTTTTAGACCAACTCCACCCTCATGGAGCTCAAGATAGGGTGAGTAACAA